GCTCAAGGAGTACTTAGCCTGTGAAGTGGTTACGTCACTGAACAGTAGTCATTAGAGCAGGCCCCTCTTGAATACCAGTGTTTAATTTGCCTGTTGCCTCGAAAGGGTTCGCGGTCGGAAACCGCGTTGAACGAAGCACAACGATATCATTAGTCAAGTTTGGTTCCATCCAAGCTTAGTCGACACTACGGGATGGTACGCAATGGTTCGTCGGAGGACGAAGCGTTCATCCGGGAAGAAGCCCGCTCGCGTTCGCGTGGCCGCATAGAGGAGCCGCGTGGCCGTCAAGCCCGCCACCAGATGGCGAACCCTTTCCGATCCCCACGACGTCAACAGCGCGTCCCGTTAACGAATGGCTGCCACAGCGAGGTGGCACCGTGTATACCACCTTGTACCAAGAACCACCGGCCATGTATCCTTCCGCCGCGCCGACCACAGCGGAAGATGCTGGTCCACTCGAGGGCGCCGACCAGCATGACGATGCTGAAACCGCTGGTCCGAACGTAACGGGTAGTTTCGCAAGCCCCATGGACGATGTGTACATGGGAAGTGACGCGGGTTACGACAGCGGTCAGGTATGGAACGCGCCAGCTCTCCCGAAAGCTCCGACCTTCAAGGGCTCGACGAAGGCAGAACAACGTGTTTTTATGCGCGAGTACCAGATGTACTTGTCGCAAATTAACGCGATGCAATGTGTCGGTTCACGTCCGTTTGCTATGCTTGTCAATGCGTGTATGGACCCGTTTTCCAAGCGGCGCATTGCCCTGTTCGATCTGAACAAGGATCACAATGCTGTTACGGAAGCAGAATGGATTGCGTGGTTCAACGCGGCGCTCGAAGAAGAACCCCAAGACTTGGACATTCTGAAGAAGCGCCTGGCGGCCGCCATCCGATTCGATACTGGACGCTGAGTCTCGTGTCGGTCGGATATTGAACGACCTCATGCGGTTGCTGGAACAAGACCACCAGGAATGGGTGCTAACTCAGGAGCCCAAAGTTGTGGTCGAAGTCATGGCGAAGGCTGTCAAGCCAGGAGCCCTCAAGACTGCTGTGCAAAAGCAGTTACAGGTGTCCAGAATAATATACGCTACACGGTAAAGCAAGACGACGAAGTGAGCAAGCGCATGAATATAAAAACATGTCGATCAAGCGACCGACTCTGAACGTCAGGCGCTGACTGCCGCAGAGGGAGTGTCAGTAGGTCCGGCTCCGACGTGGAAGGCCAAGATGTTGCGAGCCGACGACCACCGGCTCGTGCTTGTATCAGATCATGAGTCCAGAATGT